ACAGGTTAGATAATGGAAGCAGATGTGGGGGCAAACCAGACAGGAATTAATTCACCCCAAGTTTCTATCTCAGGCCTACTTACTTTACATCTTCAAAAGCAACGACAACTTTCTTATGTGTTATTCTTACATTCCAGTTTCTATTAGATTTGAAAACATGGTTCAAGGGATAAGAAATTATGCTATAATTACTTACAAGCATGTGAAAAAATGTTGGTTTAGAGCAATTACCGACCAGCTTTTCCCCATCTTTGAAAAGAATCAGAGGGAAAACTTTTATGTTGCTACCTGAAAAAGATGACTACTAAATAAAATTTAATCACATTTTATCAGGCTAAGGAAATAGAATGGGTGTGGGTTCTGAATGGTCAACAGAGAGGCAGTATCATCTTTGTGAGTTGGCTTAGATTCCAAGTCAGGGAGGGGGGCTAGATGACTAACTACGATGGTGTGTTGTCTAGGATTCTCGGACTTGAAGTGTGTCACTGTGAAATGCAGACTCCTGTGCTGGATACCAAACCACCTCCACTTGCTGTATATTTGAGGTCTGTCGGTGCTGTTCAGCACACTGCTTCTAATGAAGACTATCTAGTGTGTAAATATTGCACATATGCTTATTTACTTCCATGTTTTAAGTCACTGGCTCACAGAGTTTTGGCGATATCAAGTCCAAGGCCCTTTAGGACTGGATTTCTATGTTACAGTCTGTTGGCAGAACTCTTTGGGAAACCTCTGGTGTTTCTCTTCAGGCTTTTAGCTAGTGGCATGAAACCCATTGAAATCATGGAGAGCAATGTCATTCACTTAACCACTTAGAGGTAAAATACATCCATAGAATATTTCTGAGCAAACACTCACTCATTTTTATTAAAATCATGACAAGAGCGGACCTTGGTCCATTTGACACATAAGCAGGATCGTTACAGTGTCGGCATATTCTGGCTCAAACCCATCCAGACAGAGACACATAAGTCAGGCTGGCAAGGGGACTGCCTGGTGTCATGTGCCATTTCCAACCCTCAGGGGACCCCTGTGGGAGGAGGGGAAGGAACCCTTCATATTTCACATGAAGCTCCCCACTTGTCTTTCCAAGGAGTTTGCTTTCCCCTCCCCCATCACAATAACCACTTCCCCTGGCTCTTGAGGCTCTTTGTCCCCAAGCATGCTCCTCAACTTACTTTCAGCAGTTCCTTGAGACCTTTCCAGAATTCCACTTGCAGCATTACACGGATGTTGGTAACAGTTCAGAATAGGCCAATTTGCTCCAAGGGAATGGTGGAGACAATGCAGCAAACACTACAGACACTAGAGCCATGTCATCTGGATTGTGGTGGCAATCCTATCGCTTCTTAACTCTGTGACATGGCTTGAATTCCTTGCAATGGGCCTGAATCTTGGTCTGCTTGCACTTAAGATAGGGATAATAATCTTACTTGTGTTCATGTGAAGTGTCTGCACTTAGTAACTACACTGTTTACTCCAAAGCTGGAGCCTATTTATGTGATTTTGAAACCGATTGTATCATTAACATTGTACAACACCAGATGGAGAGCCATACCCCACCTTTCCACATGTGATAGTTTTCTTTCACCATAATAAGATTTTTTTTAGATCTTCCTTTTTCTTTTACTAGGGCTCCAGAAATCAGTTTGACATTACTGAGACTTAAAATAATCCATCTAGAGAACAAACAAGAAAGGACTGAGGGAGTCGCGTTTGTTGACTGTTTTGTGTAGGGCCAATCAATGTATTTCTGTAGACGATGTAGCCTCTCCAACGCGATGGAGGAACCTGAAGCTGCCCAAGACTTAAAGAACCTGCCCCGAATGAGAGAGCAGACTGAGGACAACGGGCCTTCCAAGCCAAGAAAGGCCATGTGCACACAACCTGCGCAGATGAAGCTGCTCACATCATCTGTTGTTTACTCCCGCATTTGAGAAACGTTCTTAGTTCGTATCCTTCACAAAATTCAACTCTTGATTCTAAAATGTTGCTCAGGACCAACAGTGATGGATACCGGACTGTGGACAGGAGATGTTGAATTACAACCCTAATGAATGCTGGAGCTGAGAACTAATGGGGGGAAAAATGGTGTTGGAAGCTCCTGACATTCTTAGTTGTTTCTGAAGAAAACCACTGTTTCCAAAGAGTGTGTGACTGAGAGATGCACAAGATATTGCTTTCCCTGTGTACAGAGTGAAGCAATTTCTTGACAACACTCACAGTTTACCAAAGAAGTTGAAGTTAAAAAAAAAAAAAGTCCAGGGGCTTGGCACAGTAACCTTGTGGCTAAAGTCCTCACCTAGCATGCTCTGGGATCCCATACTGGCACTAGTTCAGGTGGTTCTTACCCAGCTCCCTGCTTGTAGCCTGGAAAAGCAGAAGAAGACAGTCCAAAGCCTTGGGACCCTGCACCCATGTGTGAGACCTGGAGGAAGCTCCTGGTTCCTGGCTTCAGATAAGTTCAGCTCTGGCCATTGTGGCCATTTGGGGAGTGAACCGGAGGATGTTTCACTCTCTGTAAATATACCATTCCCCTCCCCCCCCCAATAAGTTCAGAAATCCCACAGAATGATTAAAATGAGATTGTGAAGATCCAGTCATCACAAGGAAGGTTTTTATCCTAATTCCTATCTGGATTCAAATCTCTATTTGGTACATTCATTCAGCTGTCCATCACTTCTAGCAGCCTTCTTTTAGGCCATGGGAATGGACACCAACTAAATGTGGGTGACTGATCTAACTACTAGGAAAACCCAAGGCTTAAGGTACATGAAGATAGCTGACATTGCAACCATGATGAACAAATGAGTGAAGTAGTCCCAGGAAGGGAGAGGTGCAGTGAAGGAGACAGAACACAAGGATCCAGGGTTTGTGGTGCAGGGCACTGGATTGGGGTGAATAGGGAAGAGCTCTGAAAAGTTGGTTATTGAATGCAGACCTAATGAGAAAGAGCCAGAAAAGAGGAGAGAGAGTGAGGGAGGTAGGTGGAGAAGGCACACACCTAAAGCTCTACAAAGTCAAAGGCATCAAAATTATGAATAAGGCAGGTTGCCTGACTCTCAGAAACTGGGGAGGACGCTGCTCTGTTGGAAGGGGTCGAACAATGGGATGAGCAGTGTGTAACACAATTTAAGTACATTGATAACCACAATCTGGGTGCCTGGTGAAGAGTAACTGAGAAAGGAGCAAGAGTGGGCGGGTGAGACGGCCGAAGACTCTCCGCTCATAGCAAATCTCCTAACTGGTTAAGAAGACCTCACCGGTGACAGGAAACTGGATTTGTAATAACGCCTCCATTTACATGCAACTGCCACTGCAAAATAAATTGTCTTACTATTTTATCAGAGGCAGGGATGATGACCCAGGCATTCATTTGTAGTGGTTTCTACTCTTTAATTGCAAGCCGTGCTACTATCACCGTGCGGAACTGCCAGTATGGCTCTTGGTCTTCTCCGAAGGAAAGGAAGATCTGGGGAATGAACTCTTTCCTCCGGCTGAAATGCAAAAGTGCAAAAGACCCTTTGCTAACAAATGGCGCGCCTCTCTGAAGCGGACAGCGTTCTTCCTCTGTATCGCGAGGCCGTTCATCAGTTTCGGCTGACCTTTGGGGATAATGGAATAATGGAAGGCAAATTTGCGACAACCGCTACTGACTGCTCCCCCCGCCCCCCACCCCCGCCCCCCAGTCCCCTCCTTTCTGGCTCAGAGTGCAGCTAGTTTCGAAAGCCTTGTCAGTCCTGGCCCCGTCCGCAAACTTCCTTGCTGAGCGGAGGTGCAGCTGTAGCTAGGGTGGCACGGGGCCTCCGTCACCCGTTCTTTCCGTCCATAAATAAGCGTCGTAAAAACATCTGCAAGTATTAACGACGGCGTGGAAGGCAGAAAAGGATCAGCAAGTCAACTCTGTTGTCGTCATTGCTGGTGGCAGAGGGGAGTCACAGACGCCCCACGTCGCTGACCGCGGCAGCATGAAGAGGGGTTGGCACCATGTGGGTCACAGATCTCTCGGGTTTTCGCGAAGGTTTTTCCGAGTCCCGCCTCCCTCCCCCGAGCTCGCAGTCCTCCTGGTCCCCAGCTGTGTGCAGGAGCTCTGAACTCTTTCCGCTGGGCACGCGTCTCTGCCACCGGGGAAAAAAAATAGAACACAACTTTGGCTCACCAAAAGTGCTAGGAACCCCCGCCTCCTCGGTGCAGTCAGAGCCCAGTGGAGCCGGACTCAAGGAGCCGCTCCCATTACCTCTCCCGCAACTTCCTCTCTCAAACCCACAGCCCTGACCACGCAGCGCCCGGGGCACACAGCCAACTTGCGCGTCCCCGCCCCGCGGGCCGGCTCCACGGCTCCGTCGCCCTTGGCTGCTCTTCCTCCGCCCTGCTGCAGAGCCGCGGCACGCAGACCCGAGCAGTGCTCTCTCGTGTGCGCCGCGTCACGCGCGGGGAGCTCAGGGAGGCGGCGGCGGTGAAGGCTGGGTCCGAGCGGGAGCCGCGGGACCCCGGGTGCGGGGAGACGCGGCGGGAAGCGGCCGCACGCCCCAGCCTCCACGCCCTTACTCCACCCCCTCCTGGCGGCCCTGTGTGCGCGCGCTTTCAACAATTTCCTTTTTTTTTTCTTTTTCTTTTTGGCAACAGCAATCATGCACCTGACTGTACCAGTGGAGGATCAGGCAGACGAGCAGAACCGGGAACAGATGTAAAAGGAATCAAAGGATAAAGCAAAGGAGATGAGACTCGGGTAAAGACATTCAGAGGCTGCAGAGGTGGCCATCCCCGGCTTCCTGCGCACGAGAGCGAGCTGCGGACAGAGGACGGCTCACCAGTTGCAGATGTAGCCCTTGCAGATTGCGGAGTCTGGGGGGGGGGCTTGTCTGCCAAAGTCTTTGGTTCAGACACTCCAGACTCCTTGATTCTCCCCTGTCCCCAGCGATCTCACCCTAAGCTGGCTGGCAGTTACGCGGGTGCCTTCCCAAGGAGCAGGAGGACAAACAAGCCCTTCTGGGCGGAGGATGGGCGAAGGGCGACTGCAGTGGGGGTTCTGCGCCGGGAAGCGCCTCCTTCGCACCGGGAAGACAAGGTTGTGTCGCGTCTGGCCGAGAGGCGGCGGGGCCAGGGCGTCGCGCTTCCTGCTCGGGCTCTTGGTGCACGCGTGGCTGTGGGCGGCCTCGGGCTCATCGGCCCAGGTGTTCAACCTCAGCCTCTCTGTGGACGAGGGGCTGCCCCCCGACACGCTGGTGGGTGACATTCGCGCGGGGCTGCCCGCCGCTCAGCAGCAGGACGGAGGCGGCTTTTTCCTGTCCGAGGACTCCGATGATTCCCCGCTGCTGGACGCCTTCCATGTGCACTCAGACACCGGCATCATCCGCACGGCGCGGCGCCTGGACCGCGAGCAGCGCGACCACTACAGCTTCGTGGCGGCCACGCTGCTGGGCGCCGTGGTGCAAGTCGAAATCCGCGTCAACGACGTGAACGACCACTCGCCCCGCTTTCCCCAGGAGTCCCTGCAACTCGATGTCTCCGAGCTAAGCCCGCCTGGCACCGTCTTTCGCCTGCCAGGGGCCCACGACCCCGACGCCGGGCTGTTCAGCACACAGGGTTACACCTTGGTGCAGCCGGCCCACCTGCCCGAGGAGCTCACCGGACCGCTTTTCCAGCTGCGCTACGGGACTCCGGGGTCGGCCTCTTCGTCGCCGTTGGAGCCCCTAGACCTGGTACTGCTGCAGCGCCTGGACCGAGAGGCGGCGGCGACGCACGAGCTGCAGATCGAGGCGTGGGACGGCGGTCGCCCGCGGCGCACGGGCCTCCTGCGCGTGGAGCTGTGCGTGCTGGACGAGAACGACAACCCGCCCATCTTCGAGCGGGACGAATACCGCGCCGCGGTGCGCGAGGACGCCCCGCCGGGCACTGAGGTGTGTCACCTACGCGCCACCGACCGCGACCTGGGGCCCAACGGCCACGTGCGTTACAGCGTCCGTACACGGTCAGGGTCGGGCGCTGGAGGAGGCAGTGGGGACACGGCCTTCTTCGAGGTGGATGAGCTGAGCGGCGTGGTGCGGGTGCGGAGGCCTCTGGACCGCGAAGCGCAAGCCTGGCACCAGCTGGTGGTCGAGGCCCGGGATGGTGGCGCTGAACCCGAGGTGGCCACGGTGCGCGTGTCCATTGCCGTGCTGGACGTGAATGACAACCGGCCCACCATCCACGTGCTCTTTCTCACAGAGGGCGGCGTTCCCCGCGTCTCCGAGGGCGCCCGACCCGGCGACTACGTGGCTCGCGTCTCAGTATCCGACGCCGACGGCGACCAGGAGAAGGTAGAGGACGCAGCGGCGAGGGAGCTGAGTGCAGGTCTCGGGAGTGCAAGCGTGTCGCTGTCCCTGCAGGGCGGGGAGGGCGTCTTCGCGCTGCGTCCCGGAGGCTCCTCAGGGTTATTTTTCCTTTGCGTGGAGGGGCCCCTAGACAGGGAGAACCGTGACCTGTTCGACCTACGACTTGTGGCCACGGATGCGGGGTCCCCGCCGCTGAGCACCGAGGAAACCGTGCTGCTCCGGGTGGCCGACCTCAATGACCAGCCGCCGGTGTTCAGCCGGGAGCGTTACCGGGCCTCTGTGTCCGAAGCTGCAGCTCCTGGCACAGCGGTGCTGTGGGTCAGTGCCTCGGATGCTGATGAGGCCGGTACTGAGCATGCCCGGCTTCGTTACTCTCTGGAGCAGCTCTCGCCTCACTGCACCGCCGAGGCCCCGCCGCCCACCGGCCAGTGTGGGCCGTATTTCACCATCGATCCCGACAGTGGCGTCATCAGCACCGCGCGCACTCTGGACCGAGAGGTCCAGGAGTCTGTGGAGCTGCGAGTGATGGCCCAGGACCTCGGAGAGCCCCCGCTGTCTGCGACCTGCCTGGTGAGCCTCACTGTGGAGGATGTGAATGACAATGAGCCCGTCTTCGGCAGGCAGGTGTACAATGTCACTCTGGCTGAACATGCTCCTGTAGGCCACTGCTTCCTGCAGGTGAGTGAGAGCATCAGGCGGAGAGGTCCATTGGCAGGTATGGCCAGGGATTGGGGACGTTGTGACATCCCTGTGGGAAATTGTGATGGGGCTATTTATTGCGATGGCTCCCAAGAGAGAGGACCTGACCTTGCTGCTCAGATGTTGGTTGCATGATCTCCAAGGTACTTTGGATTTCACCTGGCGTTTACATGAAATAAACACCTCTAAGGCTTGATTATTTGTAGTAAGTTTCCTCTCCACATCCAGATCTGTTGGAGGATCATGCCCATCAGTCAGCGTGCAATTGACCATATTGATGTTGTACCCAGATTTTGAGATCTCCTTAAATCACCAGGAGTCTGAAGTTGATGCAGGTGCATGTCCGAGCTTGGGTTCTTGGTTGAGAGCAGGCAGCCGGCTGGCAGAGGGACCAACATCTCTTAACCAGAGTGCAGCCCCGAACAGCACATTCACAGGGGTTTTTATAGGGGCAGTCCGCAATGAATAGGGGCAATTCACAATGGCTTGCAAGGTGAAAGGGGAAATACCACACATTCCCTACCCATCTGGAGGCTGGACAGCTCATGCCTCCAAGAATTAAGGTAAGCACCCACTTAATTACTTGGAGCCACCTGTGAGTAACCAGACTTAGTTGGGCTTTGATTCATGAGAACTGGAGCCCATCCGTGCTAAAGCTCACACAGTTCCTTAATAGCAGTAAGTTCTGGACAAATGGTTGAGACCTAGATCCTGAGGTTCCTCATCTCCTGGTTTCTAACCCTAGTTTTCAGAATGACTAAAAGTGCCCTGTTTTGCAGCAACCTTTGCCGGAGACACTTTCCTGCCTGCTGTGTGCTTCCCACAGCTCACAGAGGTTGCTGGAAAGCATTGAGCATTGCTGGTGGGTGGAGTACTTACCGCTTAACCTCCACAGTTACTTCCCGAATCTTAATTAGAGAGTTCAGGCTTTGGCTTGAATGAGTTCTCTCTCCAATAATAACCCTGAGCTAAGTGAGGTGATCCTTTACACGGGGTCTTCAAAATGGTGGGGAATGCATATTATGAAAAAAATGTGTATAGATTTTGAAGTGTTTGTACTGACACAAGTCTTCTTCTTTAATTCCATTTTTAAAAAAGATTTATTTATTTTTATTGCAAAGTCAGATATACAGAGAGGAGGAGAGACAGAGAGGAACATGTTCCGTCCGATGATTCACTTCCCAAGTGACAGCAACGGCTGGTGCTGTGCCAATCTGAAGCCAGGAACCAGGAACCTCCTCCAGGTCTCCCACGTGGGTATAGGGTCCGAATGCTTTGGGCTGTCCTCATTGCTTTCCCAGGCCACAAGCGGGGAGCTGGATGGGAAGTGGAGCTTCCAGGATTAGACGGACAATCATTCCTTATTTCCTGTCCTCTAATCCAATAGACCAAACTAAATCCCAACACAACTTTGAACCTTCTGGGTATCTTGGTGGTTACTCCACATCCATGATCTTTGGGATCTCACTCGCGTCACTGTTCCAGCTGCTGCCACATCGTCCTCCATCCTCCTCTCAGTGCTGGAACTTTCCGAAGATTGTTAATGTGGGCTAACCAAAGGGAGTCTGTACTGAGTATCAGAACCATTTGCACGCTGAGCTAGGCAGCCCATGGCTCCAGTAGGTTCCTCTGTGGCTTTCCAGACACCTGCTGGCCTTGTTACATACCCGACTCAGCTGGAAGAGCCCCTTCTTACCTCACCCCGCTCCTTTCAACCCCTTGCTATTGTCAGGCTCAAAATGGAGGCACTTGGCTCAGCAGACACTCAAGGGTTGCTCCTAGCAGAACTGTCAAGCCTAGCATATTTATATATTTATTTTCTAAAGTTACTGCCAGCAAGGCCAGCTTCGTGCGCTGGAAAAGAGCCTCAATCCTCTCCCCTGCTCCATACCTGCTGGTGCACTCTGCTCACTCAGAACCAGATCTGAAAACAGTGGAACAGCAGTGTTCATACTCAGTTACACGCAGACGGCGGAGGAATGCCAGCAATCTGTCCATGCATTTATCTGACCCAACAGCAGCATTTGCTAAAGAAACAGAGTTGAGTACGAATAGATGTTTCTCGAGTTACCTGCTGCGTGCCAGGAACTGTTCTTGCTTCTAGGCTTACTCAAGAGCCTGCAGGTGACAGTCCTCTGTCCAGTCTGCCCCACTGCCTACCTTGCACATGAACGACATGTGCTTGGCCTTTACCTGCTGGTGGCTCCTTAGCTGCCTCGGCTTTCCTTTCGCTACCACTGTGTTAGATCCTGCCTCTCAAAGCACTTCTGTCTGCGTTGTTTCATTTCCAAGCCAATGGCCTTTCTAAACAGTAACATCCCACATTCTCCCGGCAGTGTTTGAACTGCTGCCCACCTCGCTGACAGCATCTTTGGCCTGTCCTCTGCCTTGTGCCAGTTCCTCTTTTCTCTCGTGTGCCTCACCTGCATCACACATGTTTCCAAAGGTTTGTTTTTTTTTTTTAGTTCCTTCCTATATTCTCTTCCTATACAGTGTGAGAACTCCAATTTTCTTTCTTTCTTTTTTTTTAAAGATTTATTTATTTATTGGAAAGTCAGATATACAGAGAGGAGGAGAGACAGAGAGGAAGATCTTCCGTCTGATGATTCACTCCCCAAGTGAGCACAACGGCTGATGCTATGTCGGTCCAAAGCCAGGAACCAGGAACTTCTTCCGGGTATCCCACACGGGTGCAGGATCCCAAGGCTTTGAGCCATCCTCGACTGCTTTCCCAGGCCACAAGCAGGGAGCTGTATGGGAAGTGGGGCAGCCGGGATTAGAACCGGAGTCCATATGGGATCCTGGCGCGTTCAAGGTGAGGACTTTGGCTGCTAGGCCACGCCACCGGGCCCAAGTGACCTGGTTTCTTAGGAACAAGCTGAAGTTTTTGTCAAGACTCATGCTTAGTGCCAGCTAAGAAGTGAAAACTTTATTAAAGAAAAAAAAATGTTTTCTGAAATCTTGGTATCAACTTGGATTTTACCTCACCTGTGGATGTTAGCTGCCCAGACCTTCAGGAGTTGCTAACCTTTGCTCTCAAGCCGTTCTTTTTGCTTGGTTCTGTGCATTCATGTTTCTTGCACGTGTTGCCTAGCCTTCATACTGGAGCACCTGTTGGTGCAGTGAAAGGCCGGGCTCCACCCACAAAGCCTGTTCTAATGCTGTCCTGCTCTGTCTGTAATGTTTTGTGGTATTGCTTCCTGGCCTTTGGGGTAAGATCAAGTGTAATGACACCCTTTGTGGCGTTGCAATTGTTTAATTGTGTTAGTAGAAACCATGAGTTAGGAGTATTCTGAAGGATTAGCACTCACTGGCATTCCAATCCTCGGGAATGTCTAGCATCTTTACTCTTGCATAACAGAAGAAAAATCAGTCTTTTTTTTTTTTTTAATTTCACCGAAGTAGAGTATAGCAAAAAGAAAAACAAACAAACAAACAAACAAAAAACTTTCCAAATCTCAAAACCTGTGTTTTGCAGCAAGCGCAACAGCTGATTAAGGTTTTTGCTGTTTATTTGCTGTGTATTAGCCTTATTGTAAAGTTTTTTCCCCCCAGTATGTTTTTATTGCCAGTTCTTTAGAATGACGTAGTCTGAATCTCACTGCTTCTCCTGGATTTTTATTTCCTTTCCGCAGCCACAACACCCTGTTGCTGCTTATCTTGTTCGGTAGGTTTGTGGAAGAAGGGAATTAAAGGATGTGTTTATTTTGCTGCCCCAAGTTTTGGAATCATACCTGTTTTTTCCATGAATTTCTGTGACACCCCTCACCTAACAGAGTTGCATGTTGGTCTTATTTTGGCGCCTTGGAATGCAACTTGTCTGCGTGGAAGCAGTTGTCTGCTTGAATCTTCGCTGTGTCTAGTTCACCTGTCAGCCATTGCCTTTCTTGGCTGTCCTACATCCTTGCGGTCTGGTAACTCTGCTTCCAGAAAGTGCTGTAAGAGCCCCTGGCCAAGTTTAGGAACTTGGGAAAGCTTATAGAATTATCTCAGACTTTGATTTGATGTTGCTGTCTTTCATGCCTCCATCGCAACTGCTATTCAAGACCAATCAACAGGCTTTGCTGCCTTTTCTGCGTGAATACTGGAATCAGGTAATAACCATTGGCTGTGTAATAACAGAAGGGGTGGAATCTAGGATCTGTTGGCCGTGTCTCTAGTTGCAGTCCGGATGCAGCCTCTAACTTGTCAGTGTGTTGTCTGCGTCTTGGTTCTGTGAGTAAAGATGAGTGTTTTTCACTTGTTAGAGTGTTCATAGCCTTCACAGTTGAACTTTGTCAATTGCAGTGCTGAGAAGTAGCCGTGATTGGTGTGTGCTCCGTGTTGTGCCTCAGTTTTCTCATTTGGGTACTAATGTGAACATGGTAGAATTTTATGTGGGTAACCCACTAATATGTGTGTGCTCAGAACACTGATTGGCTGCTGCAAACCAAGTGCTCAATGTGTGTCATCTGTTATTCAACATCAGTAAATCAGAAATCTGGAAATGGTAAGGACACACTTTAGCCTGATAGAGGTTCAGGAACAATTGTAAAAATTACGCTCGAAATAAGTATTCTCCTGCACTATGATCTCATAAATCAGTTTAAGTTGTATTTTAGGTATAGATGTACATGTGCTTCAGGCAGTGAAAGCTATACTCTATCTTACTGACTGCCGGCTGTAAGACCTCTTCATTTTAAATATTTTTTGGAAGGCAGAATTATATATGCAGAAAGGAGAGACAAAGAATTTTTCACCTGCTAAATGGCCAGGGTTAGGACTGGTTGAAAGCATCAGCATGTAACTCCACCCACGACTTCCTACGCGAGTAGCAGGGTTCCAAGTACTTGGAGCATCATCTGCTGCCTTCCCAGGTGCAGGGAGTACATTGGAAGGGGAGCAGCCAGGGCTCAAGCCTGGTGCTCACATGGGATGTTGATGTCATGATAGGCAGCTTACCTGGCAGTGCCACAGCACCAGCCATGTAGCATCTTTCT